TTTGTTTTAACTTGTAAAATATCTTTGACTACCTTTGTTTCTTTTCACAATGTATTCTTAGCTTACACACACAACACAGTGAAGTAGATTTATTTTTATCAAAAATGTTAACAATCAATAGTTTCTATATACATTGTAGAAAGATTCTGTTTAAAATTTTCTAAAGATTATTGCAAAGAAAATCTTAAATAAAAATATAAAAGAATTTTTATTGTCCACAATTCAATTGAAAAAAAATTTAAAGGTTTTAATTTAAAACTATTCCATATAAATATTATACTTCCATATAATATTATATATACATATATTAATTTTTAACAATTTATTTTTCAAATTATTACAAGTTTAAACACTTGTAATTATTTTGATAAAATTTAGAACTTAATGAAAGTTAAAACTTGTCGAAATATACGATGACGACGGCGAGAGCATTTATGGTCGTAATCAATTTTCAAAAAATATCATTTAACACCATCCTTTTTAGTAAATTGAAATTTACTTTAAAAAATGGTGTTAAATGACATTTTTTGAATAAAAAAAATTTTTAATAGTGAAGTATTCGACTAAAATAATAAATATTCTGTCGGTAGGATATGTGCAATTGCGACGTCTTGATGAAACGCCGTATACGAGAAACTCTAGCAAAAAAGAAAACATCAATCCTTCTTCAACGATAGATGACGATGAAATATACGACGGCGATGGCGAGAGCGTTTATGGACGTAATTCGAACATGATGCATCACATCAGAGTTACACCGCATCACACAAGAAAGAAAGGTTTCCAAACCTCTTCAATTTTTAGTGCCAAATCTCTACCCAATCTTCATGATGATAAGACAATATACGAGGACCAAGTATCTCTTTCCGTAAAACATATTTACGAGACCCGACCCAGCCGTGACATCAAAACTGAGTCTGACTTCGAGCATAGATCCTCTATAGAGAGTCGAAGGAGCCATGGTCAGAAAACATGGTTAAAAAATAAACTGGAGACCAGGAAAGGAAGTTATCAACGTTATTCTCGGTCTGATGTGGCAAAACAGAAAATTCATAGGCCGGCAAGCATCTCGAGTTCCGGCTACCGATCCGGAGCTTGCGATAGTGATAGCGACTGGAGTTATCAAACTTTATCAAAATCCAACGTGCAAACAACTCATAATATGAATCATAACGAGAATACCGCGGATACATCAACGAAGATCTATTCAGATGCGATGATTCCAACGCAGTGTTTCAAAAAGATGAGGATCAGCAACGATGGCAAGATTTACATGTTACAACGGGAAAGGAAGCCACAGAATTGCAAACAATTTCGTCTCATGATGGCCGACAGACAATACGATTCCTTTGTCTTCTATACTAGCAGTAAAGTGTTCATGAGCTATTTCGTCGACCTCTTTATAGATCAGTTAGCGGAGCCGCTGGGTTTCAAACAGGAAGATATGAATCACGTAGAGGAATCGATTATCTACTGTGACAAAGTGATTGAATCGCATAATTTAAGACTGCGCAGGATCGAGTCCTACGAGATTTCACCAACGATATGGCTACAATGGCCGGAATACGCACAGGAATGGCTGGATAGACCAAGAAGCACATGGCCCGACTACAATGATATCAATAAAGTAAAGGACTTTGGTTGCTACGTAGTGCCCGAGGACTCTCTACTCAAAAAAAGAAATATTTTGCCAAAAGAATCATCTTGGCATCAAAACGCCAAGAACGTTCACCAGGAAATCGAGTGGCAGCTAGCTTTTCCAGCCGCGGAACGATATCTAGAAACCTGCATGACGCGCTCACAAGTGCAAGTGTACCTGATCGCGCTGATGCTTCATAAAACCTTCTTAAGACAGATCCAGGATTCGACAACTGGCCTAACGATTTCTCACATTAGAAATAAGCTATTCTGGTTGATCGAAGAGAACGATCGACCTTCCAAATGGCCTGACAATCGGACCGGCGATTGTCTAATCAAGTTGTTAAATAGCCTCTATCGCTGTCTCAGTCAGAACGAACCAACTCTATTGGACTATTTCCTCCGCGACAAAAACGTGTTTAACAAAGTGCCTGCCAATCTCCTGTTGCATAGTCAAAAGCAACTGAAGAGAATAATTGAGAACCCTGTCATGTATGTGTTTCACGCGATGGAAAACATTAAGTATAGCAACAATTTTTTTCCGCGATTAAACTTCACGAAACTGTTCAACATATTGACTGTAAAGCCGTGGCTGGCTATGAATCCGGCTCTAGATATGTATTTGTCGTCGTCAAAGAGTGACGAGTTATGTAGAGATGAGATCTACAACAAATCCGGTGGATTTTGGAACAGAGCCCGAAAGAAGAATTCGCATAACTACAGCGCGTCAATAGCTGCGCCAATAACCGCGAGGAAAACGCTTATCACTCCGCGCAAGGCCACTGATTGTATCGTCGAGATCTCGGTGAGTTCCTTAAGATATAAGATTATAATTTAGCAATCCACCGCAACAAATTACTATCATAACTGATTGTGCCAGACAAAAAAATGAAGTCAATCCATGATGCTACACAACTTGTCGTGAATCTAATCTTATCTCCGTTCCCTCGAGATAGCGGATTAAGAGTCATGGTTAACTCACATTCCTGTCTCGTTTTTTCTTTCTCTTTTCTAGGAACGATGTGCCGAATTGGAGGGAATAAGGCTGGCTGCTTTGTTGGACTTCTTTGTCACGCACTTTGTTAAAATGGCTGAATGCTGTCACAGGTATCGGGCTTATCAACAAAAAGAGGTCTATCTCGATCAAGCGGATCGATTGTCAATCATCCTATCGGAGATGACCAGGTACAAGGACGACGCTAAAGCTTATCGCAACAAGATCTACGCTCTGAGGATGAAACCGACGATGAATTCAACGACAAGATCTCAGAATGAGCCGCCGGAAACGCCTGAGAGGAATCAAAAGCCTATATTCAGCAGCACCCTGAAAGATCGTTTTACGCGACAATTCGCTGAAGTCATGAAACTGCCAAAGAACGAGCAACCGCAATCTAGTCATGAAGATTACACCAATAAGATAACGAAAACGATTACCTCCGAAATAGGATTAACGAATGAGAGAAACGCGCAGGCGGATACTGCAAACACGATTACGAGCGGGGACGAAGGTCCTAACACTTTGAGAAAGCCTATATCGAAGGATCAGGGTGATGACTCAACTTCAAATACGATACAAAAAGTGGTCTCTCTAGCGGACAATCTAAGCGACACGACATTTATATGATACGTACGTTTAGGAATAGAGCGTAAATGATCTGTCGAAAAAAAGGAGCAAAATAGGAATACATTTTTGTATTCAACGCTCGTAGCAAATCTCCGTACAACAGATTACTCCAGCAACATTGTAATGTTCCAACAATATTGAAGTTACATTGAGTTACATTCAGCAGACTCAACAGTTAAATGAGCGTCTTATTAGTATATTGTTGTAGATCTAAAGGTCTAATTGGATTTAGAAGAATACAGCAACAATTCAATTGTTGAGTCTACCGAACGTGCCTATTGTAAAAATGTTGCTGCAAACTTCTGTGCTATATGAATCAGAACGGTATTTATTGTTATATTTCGAGATTGGTCGATAATTAATTTAGTAAGTAATCGAGGAAGACTGAGCGTGCTCTTATCGCATGCTTGCAAATTGTCGATATTCGATCATCGCGTTATGCAAGAGCGAAGATATTTATATATAGTGATTAGTAACAGTTAACTCTCCGTTTGCAAACTGATCTTTTTTAACTCATATGTTAAAATTAGAAATCATGGTTTTGAACGTGTATTGGAGATGTTACACATGTATTTAGATATACGTAACAAAGAGATCACTAGTTAAAATCTTTATTTAATAAAAATTGAATTTTTTGTCTAAAAATGAGGGAAAAATTAAATTTTGGTTAAAAATGTATAATATATTTAGCAGAAAGGAGGGACCCCGGATTTCACCTTTCTTTATTTCGGAGAAGTTTAAAAGTGAAATTTTGCTTGTACCAAATAAGATCCAGATTGCAGAGGAGAGTTAAAATAATTTATAAAAATAATTAATTTCGCTGAAATATATATATATATATATCACAATTTAATTTTTGTATTTCTCATATCACATATCATATTCATTTTTTGACGTTTTATATTTTAAATTTTATACGACCATGAGAGTTTAAATCAATGAAAAATTAATGAGAACAAGCTGTAACGGTCAAGCTAAATCTTGAGTGCTTCTATATAATTGCGTGTGAATTTATATACTATGTATGTAGATTTTTAATTGCACGCCGAATTTTTTAGACTTGAAACGTAAGCTCTACTAAACTACTTCAGTAATATCACGAGTTAAATTAACTAACAATTTAACAATTTTTTATGCTCTTTGCGCATCTTAGATTGATCTTAATAATACTGAACATTGACATTTAAAATGACATTTAAAAATCTGCAGTAAATAATAAATTTTTATTGCAAAAGTATTACCTCGGCCAGGAGTCGACCCCGCAATTATATAAAAATACCCAAAATCCAGCTCAACCGTTACGATCTGTTCTCATCGGTTTTTCATTGTTTTATATATTTTACCGACAAAATTTATGTACGAATCTAACGATTTTATTACTTCCATTGTGTCTTTCATTATTTCGTTACCATTAATACTATCATCTTTATATCTATTGTCAGTTTATTAAATCCCTTATTTTATCACAAATGCAGTATCTCTTCATTAAAATATACTATAAAATCATGCATTATATATTTTACAAAGTAACTCAAATAACTATAACAATTTAAATTGTAAAATTTTCACAAATTTAACCAATATATGTACTTTCATAAACTTTTTTTTTCTAATCATTCTCAAATATTATGTGAAAATATAAAATTCTTTCCATATACGTGATCATGTGAGTGATAATTAAATATTATACCCAAAACAAAACAACAAAAAACAATCAGTGAACAATTTTTTTGCTTACCTCAACACCGTGTTCTGTATAAAAGTCGGCGGTACCCATGCTGGCATACAACTTGTATCCCATGTTCTTTAGATTTCTGATAGCCCCTAGTAACTCCATTTTATGCTGAAAACGAATCAATTATTTTTATATCTTATATATACATTTTTTTATTAAAATAATTTTAATTTTTTAAAGATTTTAGTTATTTTAATTTCCTTTTTTATCATATTAATATGAAAAATCAGCATTATAAGAACTATTAGTTTTCAAATTCATCTCCAAAATGGTACTCTGTTATGCCCGTGTCACACTACGGATTATGGACGCGGATCGGATTGAGAATTCAGCCAATCAAGACAAAGCTGTTTTGTTTTGATTGGCTGAATATCGATGTACGATTCGTAATCTCAAATCCGATCCGCGTCCACAATCCGTAGTGTTGACACGGGCTTTAGGGCTGCGCAGAATAAAAAGAACAGGGAACAGAGAATAAGAATTTCAACCTATCAGAAATCATGTACTATAAAATACACACTGTTTATTCCACAGTATATGGAAATTCTTATCCTCTGTTCCTTTTATTCTGCGTAACCTCTTACACTTCTTATAAAGTATTATAATAGTATAGATACAGTTAACAATATTTTGATAAATATTTAATATAACGAATCACCTCCAATAACCAAACCTTCCAATAACCTTGACCTTGACATATATATGTTGTCGGGGTCACGATCAGGAGTGACCTTCAGAAAGTTTCAGTCCTTCGTTAAAACGTTATTAACAAAAAAAGTTTCAAAACTACATATTATTTCTGCTATACATGTATGATAATAAGTACTATTCTATACCTCCCTCTTTAGAAACATTAAACTTTCCACGCAAAGTAACTCTCACCTCCTCTCCCCCCTACAAAGGGGCGCACGATTTCTATAATTGTACTGTTGCACGTGGGTTTCGACTTTCCATGCGAAATGAGGGCTATCTTACACCAAAAAATGAGTTAGATTAGGTTATTTTTTTTCAGTAGTGAAGCCTCTCCGCGGGGGGAGGGGGGCGGAGAGAACCTACTGCCTCTACATACTTTTCAAGCGTTTATTGAAGTGTATATTAAAGCAGGAAATCTTTTTTTGTTAATAACTTTTTAACGAAGAACGGCCGTGGGCTAAAACCTGAAGGTCACTCAGGGTCGTGATCTTTACAATATATGTCAAAGTCAAGGTCATCAGAGAGTGACTCGTTATACTAAATATATGTCTATCATTTATATAAAGATAGTCATTCTATAATATAATTACCTTAAAACTTCCTACGGAGAGTAAAATACCTCTTTGGGGTATATGAAAACCGGTGCTCATCATGCCTTTTAGGTAAGCTTCATAACGATTCTCACCGAAACAAGCTACTTCTCCGGTAGATACCATCTCGACACCCAACGTTACATCAGCGCCTTCAATTAAGTTAACAGTAATATAGCATTAATATTTAAATAATTTTTTTAAAACTACATAAACTAATCTTATAAAATATCTAATATTATTCTATTTAAATTTTAAATAAAAAATTTAAAAACTTGAGTTTAAACAATCTAAAGAAGATTGAAAACAAAGTTAATTATACAAAAAGAAATAGGTTTGTTGTAAAAAATAGTTATTAATAAAAATGTTAAATAATTAATAATGAATTTGCATATAGCACATATGCCACACATATGAAGTATAAATAAATTTTCTATAAATTTCCGATAAATTGTAAATAAAATTAACATTTTTACCTGCAAGACGAGAAAAGGAAAATTGCGGTACTTTTACTCCAACTTTTCCACAACCAGCTAAAACATCTACAGGTTCAATTGTTTCGCCAACGATTAAACGAGTTGCCGTTGCAACAAAATCATGATCTAAAGTTTTTGAGACGAAAGGGAAAGATCTGGATACTCGTACATTACACTCAATTACCTTCAGCTCGTTATCCTGTATTAAATGTAATTATTGATTTTTGTTAAATAATATATAATAAAATTTATCTGTTTATATAATTATTACTTTTTATGTCTAAGCAAAAGAATTATAACTGTAATAATATTATATATAACTGTAAAATTAGACGGAAAACGTAAGATTATTTAGAAGATAATAGTAATTATGGTGCGTGTGCGTATGTGTATTAAAAATGTGTACATATTATCAAACTTGATCAATTTTCGATTATACATGCGAACAAAGCATACAACGTCTACCTTTGCAATCAGCTGCATGTTAAAAGGACCAGTGACTCCCAAAGATGCTGCTACTGCCTTCGAGATGCTTTTTATCTTCACCAGAGTTTGCGTATTGATGTCTTGTGGTGGTGTTACTAATGTAGCATCACCAGAATGAACACCAGCATTTTCCACATGTTCCGATACTGCCATGCATAAAATAATCCCTTCGTAAGCCACGGCATCTACATCAATCTCCTTTGCCTCAAGAATAAATTTGGAGATTACCACGGGATGCTCTTTGCTAACTTCACTCGCACTTTTTAAATAAGATTCGAGATCTTGATTTGAATAGGCGACATTCATTGCGGCACCACTTAATACGTACGAAGGCCTCACGAGGCATGGATAACCAACTTCCTCGCAAAACTCAATTACAGACTTCAAATTTGTCAGTTCTTTCCATCTAAAATAATATAAAGTATCAAATGGAAATAATCAAGACAAATATTAAATAAAATTTGTACCTCGGTTGCGATATGCCGATACTGTCGAGCATACGAGAGAATTTAAAACGATTTTCGGCGGCATCAACTGATTCTGGGGAGGTTCCGAGGATTCGAGCTTGTTGTCTATGCAGATCCATAGCAATGTTGTTAGGTAGTTGTCCACCCATAGACAGTATTATACCTTCAGGACACTCACAATCGTATATGTCCATCACTACCTCGAAGGAAATCTCCTCGAAATATAATCTGTCGCTCATATCATAGTCTGTGCTAACTGTTTCTGGATTGTAATTTACCATTATGGTTTTACGTTCAAGGTTTCGCAATTCACGCAGACAACTTACGGCACACCAATCAAATTCTACTGAGCTGCCAATTCTGTACACTCCAGAACCTAAAAAAAATATTTAAGATATCGACTCGAAGATTAATGTGATTCCTTTTTATAGCTACTTAGTTTTGTTACTCAAAGAAGTTTTGTTGCAATTAACTATTTATATAATACTACTGTACCTATCACCATTGTGTAACCGCCAGGAAACTCTACATCGTGAGTTGTACCATTGTACGTTAAATAAAGATAATTAGTATTAGCCGGCCATTCAGCGGCTACTGTGTCAATTTGTTTGACCATCGGTCGGATTTTATTTTCTTGTCTCTGTATTCTGACAGCCAATTCGGAACTCTTCACTATGGAGGCAATTTGTTTGTCCGAAAAGCCGATTTGCTTTGCTCCCAGTAGTAAATTGCGTGTAAGTTTCGTATGATCGATATTCTCCAGGAGTATATGATAATCAATAATGTTTTTCATCTTCTCAAGGAACCAGCGATCTATTTTGGTGAGTTTGTATAATTGGTCAATCGAATAACCGGCTTTGATTGAAGCTGCGAGAACAAACATTCTCTTATCTGTTGGCTTCTCTAGTTCTTCATCATTTATCGGCTTCACGTAAGGATCGAAGCCATTAACATTTTCATTGACCATTCTCAATGCCTTTTGGAAGGCTTCCTCGAATTTACGACCGATTGCCATCACTTCACCCACGCTCTTCATAGAGCTACCAATCTGAAAAATGTCCAATATTGTAGTTATATAATAAAAAAATATATTTAATATAAAAACAGAGTTAAAATAAAGAATTTTTGAAAATATTAATTTACATTATCAATAAAAATTATGTAATTTTTCTTTGATTAATTAATTTTTATCTTTTTTATAGTTTTCAATATACTATTTTGCAACTTAAAAAAATATTGAATATGGATAAAAATAAAATAATACAATATATCTTTATTTTATATATATATATATATACATATACATATATTTCAATTTTAAAAAATTGTTTTAAAAGAATAATTAAAAAATTAAAAGTTGTCCTCAATTTCGACATTTTACTTCTAGTAATTTCTTCTACTAATTTCTGAGATTAACGTTTAATCAAATAGTTCAAGGATCAATGAAGAGAATTATTGTCGAACTAGAAAATTAATCAATATGTAGAAACCTTCTTGCTGACTCGATGAAATTTGCTAAGATCCCACCTTGGTATTTTTACCACACAGTAATCAATACTCGGCTCAAAACAGGCTGTAGTCTCTTTGGTAACAGAATTACAAATATCCGGCAGACGTATTCCAAGAGCCAATTTGGCAGCGACGTAAGCCAGAGGGTAACCCGTAGCCTTGCTAGCTAAAGCTGAGCTTCTGGACAATCTAGCATTCACCTCGATGATGTAATACTCTTCGGAGAATGGATTGAGAGCATACTGGATGTTACATTCTCCAACGATGCCGAAGTGCCTAATGACTTTAATGGCGGTAGTTCGCAACTTATTATAGTCTTTATTCGACAGAGTCTGGCTCGGCGCGACAACAATGGACTCGCCGGTATGTATGCCGAGTGGATCGACGTTTTCCATATTACACACCGTAATGCAGTTGTCATATGCATCACGAACAACCTCGTACTCCACTTCTTTCCAACCCTTTAGGGATTTGTCAATTATTAATTGATTGGAATAAGCTAGAGCTTGTTGCGCTAATGTCCTTAGCTCTTCTCTCGTGTTCGCAAAGCCTGATCCGAGACCACCGAGCGAGAAGGCAGAGCGCGCCATTACGGGGTAACCCAGTTTTTCAGCAGCTTCTAATGCCTGTTTGGAAAGAAATTATACAGGATATTTCGTAACTGATGATATAACTGGAAAGGGAATAAATGTATACGAAAAATAAGTCGAAAACACAGAATAAAATTCTTTCATATGAGGTTTCGTTTTTAGAAAAATCAACTTCAAATTGTTTCCAGATACATGTGCATTTAACTATTTATTTTGACTTATGAATTGTGTATTTGATAGAATAAACATTTTCAACAAAATGCATGAAGTAATAAAATTCATCGTTCGTAAATATCTTATTTTATCAGGTATACATAATTGTATTATCCAATAAACACCAACATAAAAAGAAATTGTAATCTATAGTGAGATGTAGTCCATCGAGATATAGGAGTTAAGCGCATATATGCACATATATCTAATAAATATTCGCGCGCGAAATCAATTTTCCCGAAAACACCCTCTTTTTGATTGTACTATTAGTTTTTCATGAAAAAATAAGTCTAAAATATATAAAAAAAGAATTTTTTGCATCCTAGTAATTGTATATATACTTTGTCAACAAGAGAATGACCTCGGTCTGCGCATCGGAGATGGCGTAGCGGACAAAGTGGGGATGTATTCAGTACCGTATACGTAGATATGTAAATAAGGTAAGCTCGGACCCGGGGTTAGAAATAAACACTGAAACAAACTGTTCGACTGTTATTTTTAAAATAAATAACGGAATTAATATAACGGAATAAATACATATATGTCAATGATTTCATAATCTGATGTCATCTGGCAGCTTGTACAAGGGATTAGAAAGTTGTAGTATAGTACTGAGGAGAGAGAGGGGCTTTTGTGGGCGGAAACATGCGCGAAACGGACGAGTTTTCGTTCTATGCGAAGTCGTTCTCTCGTTGAACAGAGTATAGTCATTTACCTCTTGAATCGAATATACGGCAGCACTCGGTGCGACTTTTTCATTTATTTCGCTGACACGATCTGCGAAAATCTTTCTATCTTCAGTTTGTATGATGGATTCAATTGGTGTCCCTAGAATTTTAACATTATACTTGGCAAACACGCCGTTTTTCTCAAGTTTCAGGCCACAATTTAAAGCGGTTTGCCCACCAAATGTTAATAATACACCATCCGGTCTCTCAGATCGTATTACCTATAACAGATTAATGACATATTATTAACAATTATAATTCGGTAAATATTTAGTATAATGGACCACTCTTCGATGACCTCGACCTTGACTTATATTGTCAAAGGTCACGACCTCGAGTGACCTTCAGAAGATTTTAGCCTGCGGCCGTCCTTCATTAAGACTACTGTTAAAAATAACCTAACGCAACCCATTTGTTGGTGTAAGGTAGCTCTCATTTCACGTAAAAAGACGAAACCTATGTGCAACAGTACAATCATGGAAGTATGTTCGCATGGAAATTCATATGTCTGTATTGTTGCATGTGGATTTCGACTTTTTCCACGAGAAACGAGAGCTACTTCACACAAAAAAATGGGATCGTGACCTTGACAACATATATCAAGGTCAAGGTCATCAGAGAGTGATCCGTTATACTAAACATTTACCTATAATTCTTATTTTAATATTAAATGTTAGATAAAATTTGATATCCATAACTTTATCAACATTTAATTAGTTCATATAAATAGAACGATCGACGTTAACAATATTTAAAGGTATATTAATGCATTATTTATATTACAATTGTTAACGATAAATTATCAATAAAAAAATTTATTATTTAAACTTAAATGCAACCAAACTTACCTGTTCGACATACTCCGGTATAATTGGTAAAAAATATACTTTGTCGGCCATGCCTTTTGACGTTTGCACTGTAGCAATATTAGGATTTATCAACAGAGTTTGTATTGACTCTTCTTTTAGCGCTTTAATTGCTTGCGAGCCTGAATAATCGAATTCTCCAGCTTGGCCGATACTGAGACCTCCCGAGCCAAGAATCAATACCTTTTTCGGTTGTTCGGTTACGATTGGAACCGAAGGTTGATAGGCTAGTCTTTCAGTGAGTCTATTCTTTATAGAAACGCAAGAACGATTCTTCATCTGGTCTTCCACGCTCTCCAGAAATACATCAAAAAGACATTCGAGGTCTTCAGGCCCTGCTGTGTGCTCCGGATGAAATTGAACGGAAAAATAGGGTAAGACTGAGTGGACTACACCTTCATTGCTATTATCATTGGCGTTGATGAAGAGTACTTCCCAATCAGGTGGCAATTGAGAAGCATCGACGCAAAATCCATGATTTTGCGAGGTCATGTAGCAACGTCCGGTGATGCAATGCGTTGCCGGTTGATTATGGCCTCTATTGCCATACCTGTAAAATAAGTGACAGGCATAGCTTGTAACAGTAGACTATTATATTTCATATTACATAAGGAGAAGTTTATTTCCGCCACGGTTCACTTTTGGCGTTTGAAATGAAAGTTCATGTTACCCAAAATTTTTTTTTTGGAATATGTCCAGAATCACTCCAGGATTAAATATCTATAGTCAGTTTTTCGAACTCAACGGCCCTTTTTTTATCTAGAGCAAAAAAACTGATTTTTGGGGGTATTTTTATGAAAAAATTTTTATTATTATTCTTTAGTTCGTAATACATGAAATTATAATGAATTTTTCTACAAATATAGTACTTCAATGTTACATCAATTGAATAATATCTTATTACTAACAAATTGCCATTGTGAAAAAATTACAATTACAATTGAACGGAAATGAATTAATTATGAACTGAAACCTTTTTTTACAAGTGAAGACTCTGGAGAGTATTGTGAAATCAGTGGCCGGCGACTCGCATTTTTTTCAGAGCAAAGTGTGGAATCACTTCACTATGACTTCGAACAAACGTGGAAGCGACACAAAATAGCGGAGGTGAACAGTCGATTCGGTGAACGGCTGTGGAGAGCAATGTGCGAATACAACAGTCTTCACTTGTAAAAAAAGGTTTCAGTTCATAATTAATTCATTTCAGTTCAATTGTAATTGTGATTTTTTCACAATGGCAATTTGTTAGTAATAAGATATTATTCAATTGATGTAACATTAGTTACTATATTTGTAGAAAAATTCATTATAATTTCATGTATCACGAACTAAAGAATAATAATAAAGATTTTTTCATAAAAATACCCCCAAAAATCAGTTTTTTTGCTCAAGATAAAAAAAGGGCCGTTGAGTTCGAAAAACTGACTATAGATATTTAATCCTGGAGTGATTCTGGACATATTCCAAAAAAAAAAAATTTTGGGTAACATGAACTTTCATTTCAAACGTCAAAAGTGAACCGTGACGCATGACAGAACAATAATTTGTTGAACGGTATGAAAACGAGTAGAATAGAGATAAGAAACATGTGGGACAAAAAGTGTGGTTTATCAGTTTTTCGAGCTATGTAAGAACAGTATGTTAACACATTTATAATATATGGTAATTAAGGGGAACACCAGGGTGACAGCCGAAAAAAAGGCTCTTTTTGTGAATTTTTTTTTGAAAACTGATAGCTTGTATGAATTATTGTTTTTATATATGTGAAGAACATACATTTATGAAATTATTTAAAAAAATTCATTGAATAATATTAATATTTGTGTGTAGCTTCAGTAATCATTGATGTGCACCTCGTCTGAAAAAACATGGGTGCATGAGCGCTCATGCTACGTCTGAATGGGAGCTCTAAAATAAATTTTTTTAATTTTATTTTAAAGTATATGAGTATAGTTTCAGTTGCACGTACGGATTTTTTAATAAAATAATTTTAGACAAAATGGCGCTGTTTAAAAAAAAAAGGTCACGATTTTGCGACAAAAAATCGTTACCTTTTTAATTGTTTTTTTAAAAACTAATAATCTGATTGAAAAGTTCGTACGTGCAACTCAAAACAATTTCGTGGTAAACATTCTGTCCAAAATTCAAGTCATTCGGATAAAAATTTATCGAGATATGTGAGCGCCCAGTTACTAAAACGTGGTTACGAGAAAAACACGTTTAAAGTTTTACAACCGATTAGTTTATATAAAACGATAAAAATTCATAACAAACCAAGTGCGTCCAATCCGAGTGCGTATGAAGTGTTCATGACTGAAGCATACAGGCAACAAAAGAATACCGGTAAAACTGCCTACAAGCAGATCAAGGGGACTGCTGAATGTCCTAGCGGCATCTGACCACGTTCTACTCTATCATATTTACTATTGTTCCGTTAGGAATTTCAACATAATATTATAGGAACATATTTTTAAGACTCCAAGCATTACAAAAATGCAAAAAAAAATCGATTTTTTCTACTCGTCACCTTGGTGTTCCCCCTTAAGGTAATTTATATGGTACGTACTGCATTTTATATGTAACACAGCCAGCGGCTATAGATAACAGTTGATGCCCAAGACATATACCAAAGATAGGTCTTTTTTGTTTAAATACTTCTCGAATATTTTCTATGATTACTTGGCACATGCTAGGATCACCCGGGCCATTGCTGAGAAATAAGCCATCATATTTCGTAGTTTTAAAATCGTAATTCCATGGCACAATATCAACGCGAGCACCACGTTTTAACAGACATCTCAGTTGATTGTATTTTAACCCACAGTCAACTACGCATATACGAGGATATCCATCTGGATTATACGTTTTTGGGATTGACTGAAAAAATTTACATACGTATACACAGAAAAAATTTTCTGAGTAAACTAGAAGATTCTAATCATATCAATCAGAGTTCTGATTATTTCAATTAGAATTATAACAGATTCAACAGAAATTTCTGATTTGTTTATTTTCAACTATTATAGAATTTCAATTAATGCAACTAGATTGTTTTTCTAGTGTATTTATATAAAATTTTTTTGTTATAAAATATTGTTTTTTAAAAAGAGATTTTATAAGTTATGAATCGCACTCATAAATATTATATTTTACCAATGTTTTTATAAAAAATTTAAAAAAAAATTATACGAATTAAGCATATAACAGATATTCTTTCTCTTTTGTTTTTTTCCTATAAGCTTTTTAGTTCCAAAATTAAGAAATATTTAAAAAAATAAAAGTTTTCTTACACACAATCAAATTATACATAAAAAAAGAATTTCACTTCTTTGCAGTAAATCATCGTACGAATATTTTTCAAAAAGCATTCTAAAGCCTACTTTACAATACGTTTATATTAAATTTTGTTTGATGATGTTTCATCAAATTGTAGTACTTCAAAGTAGGACAAAAATATTGCAAAAAATGTAATTTTCAATTATATGCAACTTAGAAATATAATTTTGTACAAAAAATGTAAATGCAGGTTTAATGTCCTCTCTTTAAACACGCCGAAAACTTCTTTGCAATTTCTTTCACTGAGATATTTAACTTTTATAAAATGCGACAAAAATATTAGTAACATAATATTTATGAATGCAACTGTATCAAGTAGTAATAGCTTTATATAAGAGAATACTAACGTATTTATACTAATATTTATATTAATATATTTCTATCATATATCCCAGTTATCTGTAATGATATAATATTTCGAAAAATTAAATAAAATTGAAGCATTACGTAAGATTCTCGTATAAAATATACTTATGAAAAAAGAAATATCACTTTATTATAAAATACACTTGTGAAAAGAAACACATTATTTTACCTGTGAAACTTCCTTAACAAGATTTCTCTTGTTAGGATCTTCTATTGGAGGCATTATTGGTAAAGTATGTGATGGTTGACCGGAAACTATCCTGCCTAATATAGTACCTTTTTCCGTAATAACTTTTGTCAATGCTCGTGTGTCAATCTTACATATACCAGGTACATTTTGTTCTTTCATCCAATTAGACAGCGTCTTAGTTTGTCGCCAGTGGCTGGGCTTCTCGCAAATTTCACCAACCACGAGTCCAGCAGCCCATATACGATGGGATTCAAACCAGCTGCATAAAAATTAATATATTTTAAAATATTTGTGATAAGGCTCAATATGTTTTAAACAATTAATATAAAGAGATAAGAGCAATGAGCCAATAATTTCGTTAAAATCTTTAAATTAATCTAATATATTGCGAAGAATATCACATAATTATGGCGTTTCATCCCAGCTTCTACTACTAGACTCATCAGTAAGGCATTGTAGTGGAAGCCTACCTTAAGCGACGTCTACAATGAAATTTAAAGGCGTAAAATTCAAGCTTTAAGCTTTAAACTGTAAGAAATTGACCAATCACAGTCGAATGTGTGGAAAATGATCAACTATGATTGATCAATTTTTACGGCTTAAAGCTTAAAGCTTAAATTTTACGCCTTTAAAGTCTCATTGTAGACGTCGCTTTATACGCCTGAGAGAGTTATTTAGTTGAGATTCTATATAAAGAGATATACGCGTATCAAAGCACTTACGTATAAAGTAGGTTTCCACTACAATGCCTTACTGATGAGTCCGGTAGTGGAAGCTGGGATGAAACGCCATAATTATATGATATTCTTCGCAATATATTAGATTAATTTAAAGATTTTAATGAAATTATTGGCTCATTTCCCTTATCTCTTTATATTAATATATTTTAGCCATCAATAATAATATTTCCAATACATTTACATAGTTGTATTGTTTTTTAATTTATAAACATTCTGCAGAAAATCTATAAAAGTTTTCTGTAGAAATATTTTATAAGATACACACACACACACACATACTTGACGTGAAATTTACTGTTGAACTAAAAGATTTTAAAATATAACTGAAAGAACATTCGTGAGAAAGAATATTTTTAAGAAAAGGTAAATTGATATTTTAGTAAAACAAATATATTTTACTTATTATCGTATTATACTATTATTTTATCTATTATTTTATATTATATTATTTTATATAATATTTATTATTTTACTGATTATTTTTGAAAACTTAAAATATAGTCACACATGGAAAAAGCACACATTAATTCGGTCAATTGGTACGTAGTACACAAAGATTAATATTGTCATTGAGTGAAGTCGTTAATAGGCGCTGAGTTAAATCTGATTGCGATCACTTACTATGGTATGCTGTATTCGTCCTTTTCGTCACCGAAGACGCCATAATTTCCTATGAGTGGGTATGTAAGCACTAGAATCTGAGCGTGATAAGAAGGATCCGTGAGTGATTCCGAATAACCAATCATACCAGTCTGAAAAACTGTAAATAAATAATAATCTTTATATTTTTACATGCATTAAATGCATATGCATTATTTGTACGGCTTATGGTAAAATACATATAAATAAAACAAATATTGCACGATTAATTAAAAATTTTTATAAAATAATAATATATTAATAAATATATAAATATAAATTATATTGCGTAATCTCTCCAAACAAATAGCTTAATTTAAAATTGATATTATAGAACATTTTAAGTAGCAAGGATATTTATTATGTGAACGTCAAAATATTTTACTGTTTGCATCTTATTAATAAAAATTAAATATATATTGTTATTAATTTAAAAATTGAATATTGTTAATCTTGCACAAACAGTTTGTTATATCACGAATTCCGAATTTTCAATCAGATTTTAACTATTTATGTTGTTACCATATTACATATATATAAAATAAATTATTAAACGTTAACAAAATGTAAATGGTTGAAAATAATAACTATATTTAAAATCTATATATTATTTTTCTAGAATTAATAATTTAATAATAGCATTGATGGATTATATTGGCAGTAGATTGCAACATATTAGTAAGAGATCAATCTTTGCTCGATCTTCTGATTGAAATTTAATCTTATATAAGATATGTTAATTTTCTATGTCTTTGTAAAGCAGTAACACGTGTATGAACTTGAAAATTTTCCGCGCAATATAATTCGACGTGAGGACATATAAGTGAGAATTTATTGTAAATGTATGTGTATGTACGAGTATGTATTGTATAATACATGAACTTCACACAGCAAGTTTACATCAATTCAAAAGAATATCTTTCGATATTTCGTTACATGACACATAATCTCAAGTCACGTATTCATTAACGTACATCAAATTAACTCATAATCTACATTAAAATTATGAAATATGTTAAACTTGTTTTAAGAGAGCATGTTCACACACTCCTTTCTTTTATCTGCTTCTCTATTTATAATTTATATTTAAATAAATATATTTACACTAAAAATTTTAATAAAGTATTAAATAAATTTTAATAAAGTAAAATTTTAATAAAGTACTAACTAAGTACGTATCTTGTAATTTAAGACTAGCGAAATTGGATCGACAATGTCTATCATCTTACCATCCCCAAGTTGCATTTGCAACGTAATCATTTAAACGGTTATCACCGGTAGCCGGTTGAAAGTAACAACGAATACAAACCACAGTAATACACTGCTTAAGTTTTAAATAAATAAAAAAAATGTTTAAAATTATAATAGATAATTATAAAATAAAAAAACAATCTCTCTCTCTCTGTCTCATAACAAAGACATGTATGATATATTTTTTTTAACTTTCAAAAAATTTAAACAATATGTAAAATAATCTAAAGAATTGTGTATGGCAATATTTCCCATTTAATATCACAATTTTTTTATTCAACATCTTTTGTTAAGCATATAAAAATTATATTTTAATATATTTGTAATTTATCAGACATAATGCGTTTTTATATATAAAACGCTTAAAGACATCATATTATTTTTATCATATATATTAAATAAAACAACAATCTCGCAAATCTATATTAATTATGTAATTTTTTTCTTAAAAGAATTATTAAAATTTTTATTTTAGTTTCAAACTTTTAAAGTTTTTAAACGTGTGTAATAAAACAAATAAAAAAAATTAATATTTTTTTTATCAAGAAAATAAGTCAAGAAGAAGAAAGAAAACATTTTAATAAAAATAAAAAAAAAATGAATTAAGAAAGGAAAAACATTTCATATTGACGTCCTTCTTACAATTAGTCATAGCGAATTGAGATATTACGTTTTAAAGGTCAATGTCTACTCTCTAATAGAAAATATGTTTTTAAAAATATTCTATTATATACTAGAAATGAATATATTTTCATATATATCTATAGAGACTTTTAAATGATAAGAAACAATTTAGCAATCTTCCATGCACAAATGATTACTTAATGGACAAACGTTGTATCAATTTAGAAATTATACCATTTAAGCGCAACTTAAGCATACAATGACGCTGCATTGTAAATATATCTCCGATAAATAATACGCGCGAAAATATATTATATTTTCTTATCATGTGCGTGCGCGGTCTATACAAAATAACTAAATGTTATTTGTAATATGTATAAAACATCGATCTATATGATGCAAATCAAATAGTGTATCCCGTCTCATAATATTTTCATGTATGATGCTTTCCAGTTAAAAGAAGTTGGTCTGAAGAACAGAATGACATGCCCTCATGCAGCTTCGATTCGTAACAGACACACGTGTTCACATTTATGCATGGACTCACCAATTTCACCATCGATGGATGCATCGGCACCGAAGCGTTTTCCTAAGAAAACACTACCATCTTCTAAAAGAAGATAACTATCGGTCACGTCATTTGACCAGGTAGATACGTTGCTGGACATTTTGAATTTTAATTAGATTTTTTCCACGCACGTGCTGCCGATACACTGCGTGCGTGTGGGCCGACACTGCCGACAGCACGTTTTTAGACCATCGAGAGTTAAGTCTTCTTGAACTGAAGCGATACATGCGCTGTTAATGTATTAGTAAATGCGCGTTGTACGACCAATTGGCGAGCAACGTTCCCGCTTTGCTGCGTATAAGCTGCCACGCAGGTCATGTGGAGGGAGAGGTGAGGATCGTTGCCACATCATTGGACGTTTGAATGGTTGAGTATCGAACGCTCTATGTGCCGTTACATTGGCGGGAAGATTTCATTAGGTAATATTTCAAATCGGTTTTTAAATTCTTGCTAATTCGTTTTAATTTGTAATTTTAGCTTAAAAGTTTGTAAACAATTACGGAAAGTAATTAATTTGTTTAATGTAATGAAATATCTTTATGCACATTCAAAATATTAAGCAATGAGAAATATATTACATTAAATATATATTATATTAAGTATATATGTATGTAAAAATACACATTTTACCGAGAAAAAGACAATCACGTAACAAAAATAAATATATTAAAAAATTATTTAAGATACTTGAAAGATTATAGAAATATCATTGTTAATATTTAATATAATTAATATTCAACCTTCTATATATCACACATTTTTAAAATTATTTTTACAAATATCATATTTTTATATATGTATACATCTACATATATATATATATATATACATATTTATAAAAATAAAAGCTATTAATGTTTCGATAAAAGTTACTTATAATATTATACAAATAGTGAAAATCCAATCTGAAAATTATAAATACAATTATACATATACAAACTATCTATAATAACTCATATTTTATAAGTATACCAAATCAGTCTAATTTATAAATAATCTTTAATAGATATAAAATAATTTGAGAGAACACATAATACGAGCGCATATTACATATGCCATACAAATTATGCTGCTATTCTTTGATATTCCCAATAATTTTTGTTTATTTCATTTTTTTTATAATGTATTCGATCGCCGATAAGTTGGTCCCGTGCGTAATAAAATTCCATCATTTCAGATGACAGTTTATACGATACGCTGAAAACATAAAAAACACTGTCCTAATTTTATCAATGATAAATATATTGCTTTTAAGCAGCCAGATTTTATGTTCGTAACAAGTTATTCAGTTAAAACTTACACATGATCCGGCATTGTAAGATCATCTCCCTTATACTGCACGTGTGCTAATATCTCATTATACCGGTGATTCAAATCGTCCCAGTCAGCCGGTTGATCCTGATGACATAGGTGGGCTCGGATTTTGCAGTACAACGGCTCTCTCTCATATATAAGTTGACAAGCCGGTCTTTCCAGTTTTTTCATCCATCCCTCTATCCTCACCTAAATCATTATTTGTTGAATTTTAAGCACTTTCTATTTTAACAAACCGTTAGATGTATTTCTTATATACTTTGTGTGTGTCAAAAATATTTTTACTCTGTATTTTCACTTATTAGGAAAAGTATAGAAATTATCAAATCTTTAAATATACAAACATATTGAATAAATAAAAAAATTTAATTAATAAATTACTCCAAAGCTAAATATTTGCCTGTCGCGTGATATGATGTTGTTTATCATTCTGATAGTCCCACAAAAAACACATAGCAGCATATGAATTGCAATTCTGTAAACAAAGAAAATAAAAGTAAAATCTTCATTACTCGAAAAATACTGAAGCAGTAATTAAAAATTATTAAAACGAATTAAATTGTTTTAGTATTAATGGATGTCGCTCCGCTTTTCCACTTTCTTTCTTCTTAACTTGGTATAATATTTTTATGTAGAAAATTATTTTTATTTTAGAAAATATTTTTTGAAATTATTATTTAAATAAATATTTTTGTATTAAACATTTACTAAAATTTATATTTATTTAAAACGCTACAGAAACAATTTGCTTACAGAAACTTTTAGAATACAATGATAACAATATTAAATTTCTTTTTAAAACATTTATTTTTAAATTACTTTTTTTTTCTAATAAATACAATTTAAGATTTTAAGATAATTATATTATAAGATTGATATTTACCATGTCTTTGACTTTTTGACTGCGCGCGTCTGTCATGATAACAAAACCGTCATCATCAAATTCTCGTAAGATTAAATTTCTCGAGCTGACTTTGGAATTTCTGAGACACAGAGAGAGAGAAGTTTACATTTTTCTATTAGATACAGTATGTTTCTAAGATATATACTTACGGTGAGACAGTTGCTAAACAACAGGCATTTACCAATCCAAATTGGAATTTTATCGCTTCATCGCGCCATATTCTAAAAAGATCGACGGGATTGTCAAGAGGATCGATTCGTGCAAGACCCACGACATTATCAGTCATTGCCATTTCCTTTGTAAAATATGTGTGAATTAGTTCAACAAAGCGTTGTAGACGACGAAAAATATTCCTACAAATTTTCTGTTGAAAAAGATTCATTTTAGTAGACAAACTTATTTATTTTCATATAAAAGATAGGCAATTATCTATTTTTAAATAAAACAAACAACTATATTATTTTAAATACATAAGCAGTTTAGATAAGCAATTAATTTTTTATTATAAGAGAATCATTCTTCACACTATTTCTGTTAATAAATAACAAATTAAAAAACAAATCTTCTTTCTATTAAGTATTAACAATATACTTCGTAATGTTAAATAAGTAACTTAAACAATTCAACCAATGGCATATTTTCAATTTTACTTAAAAATTTTAATTAAAGAAATTAATTAAAAACCATTGGAAAAGGATCTCTCTCAAATATCATAAAATACTATATGATATATAGAAACACACACACACACACACGCACACACGCACACACGCTGACATTATGTACACATAAATTGAAATCAACAGTTTATAAACATTTAAATTAAGGACTCGATATTGTAATTACGATTAATTAATCGATGTTGTTATGTCATGTATACAGTATATCTGTGTGAAGCTCTTAAAGAACTCTAGAGGATTAAATAATAACAAACACACCTGTTACTCAGTACTCTATAGGCTTGTTCTTTTTGCCTGCACTGTCTGAACTGGTGCAGATAGTGCAATAAGTTGAAGTGAAATAAACGTAGATCTGTTTCACTTCAACTTATTGCACTCTCTGCACCAGTACAGTAAAAAGAACAGGCCTAATAATACTCATTGTTACGTGATAGTACGCCATGTTTCTCTTGCAAAGAAGTAGCGATGTCTTCCTTGAATTCCAATTACCTATTTAATTAATTATTTGAAAATATTTACCATCAAAGAGACGAATAGATCTTGTGTCACGTTTCCACTGAATTTGCAACGGTCACTACTTCGACAATCACGATGATCACACTACTACTATTTCTTATCGATTCTCTTGGTATTATCTCCTACCTACCATGGTATAAATACAAGGGGTATGCTCATGCGCATGACCAATCAGATTTCTGTTCTTGATTACGTCACAACGAGTGGCAATTTTAAAAATACGAGCAACGTATCATCAAAATGTTAGAACATATCCTACCTATACAAACGAAAATGTCAAATTAACTGAAATTATTAATTAAATACGACAGTATATAATTTTTATAACAAGAATTGTACAACTTACCACTTTGAACATTTACACTATCTTTTCCGCACGCTATTACGCCACGTGCACTACGCCATGGACGCCATGATAAATTACGATCGATAACCACCGATTGCACACGAATCAGAACCGACCAATCAACGCGTACCCGAATATGACGTAGGCAAGCATGCGCAAGCTGAACGAGTTTTAGAAAATTGATGAGCATCCCTTATATTTCTACCATGCTACCTACTATTTGTACGCTTCTGCGCAAAATACACTTCGACCGCTTCGACGAAAGTGCCAATACGTTATATAATTCGATTATCATAAAATTAAATTCTCTGTTGATATAAATAAATTGAGAATTTTATTCAATTTTTTTTTTTGAGTGAATATCTTTTTACAGCATCAAGAGGATTGAGGAAAAAAATGTTATTTAAACATTACAAATTACTATTTTAAGAAACTTTAATAAGTAAACGATCTTACAAACATGTATTCGTAAACACTGAAATATATAATGATATAAACCTAGAAGATAACGTACAAAGCAAGTATGTATATGCATGATAGAATAAATGTAAAGAGAAAAATAAGTTAAAAAATTATGCCACGGTAACAGATTTTTTATATCTTAGACATAAAGAAAGACATTAAATATTTACAAGAATGCGATTGCACGCTTCGCTGATTATTAACGGAACATATCGAACCTGATAAAACTATATATATTGATAACAGCAACATGTATTTGTGCAAGGCGGACGCGATTGAGTAGTAACAATCATTACTCATAATAGTTTATAAATTTCTATCACAATTTCGATATCAGTCCCTTATTTTAATGCAATAGTCATTTCTATCCATTTTCAGGATCTGTCGTGTGTGCGTCAAGCATGCGTCTTGTTCGTAGTACAACATTTATCAGATATTAACTCTGAAATAGATTTCTTAACTAATGGTAGCTTTGATCCAATCGATATGAGACGAAATTTTATCGTACAATCGAGGTCTCTCGATGCCATCCTTCGAGCAAGCTATCCTCCAACTACCGATACCCGTCAGCACCCATTTTCGACTATCTGCTTGAAGACACAGCATTGAACTGCCGGCGACCTCTTCTTCCTGTTAAAATAATAAAGTATTACTTCATTGAATTAATCAATTTCGTTCATTGTTTAGAATTTATTTGTATCTTGAAAAACAATGAAATAAATTTTATCTAAAAGTAGAAGAATAAAATCAACAGAAAGTGCTTTAATAGAATAAAAGGTAATAAAAAAGCTCATGATGAAACGTTTTAGCTTACGTTGCAATCATCAGTGGAATATGCTTGCTCGGTACAAACACTGTTCACCGATGGAATGCTAATATTCTCGCATTTTTCCATTGCACTGTGTTTGAGTTGTACTCTTTGCAATACATCGCCTATCAGGAAAGAGAGAAAGATATATTATATATATTAATATATATTTTTTTATATAAATATTTTATTAATTGAAAATATAATATGTTTCAAGTACAGTAATGTAATATTAAGTGAACCTTTTAATTAAAATTATTTTCAATAGCTCTTCAAAAGTTCATAAAAAATATTCCGATTTTTAAAAATAGACTTCCTAAATTGTGAAAAGCAATTAAAGATCAATGATTGTGTACATACGATTTCTCGCCCAGCCAAGAGTGTTGCATTGCGATGTGTTACTCGGTGGATCCTCGCTGGAGGGCAGACAAACCGGTCTCACGAAGTCCGAAAAGGTCGTCACCGGTCTATCCAACTTTACCAGAACGGTCGTGCCCTCCACCGGTGATTTGATCATACCGACAATTCTGCGTTCTTGTTCCCAAGGTGATGTGCTTGAAAGTCGTATGACACCAAGTCGGGCCGACCATTCTGCTTTCGGTTGCCTATAAAAAGTGAACACCATTAAAATTAAGAACATACAGAATTTATTTATAATGAAATACATTAAAATTGATAATTACATTGTTTACTTTACAATTTTACAATTATGATATTTACAATTTGATTAAAAATGAACAAATCGTCAAACGGTTGAATCTACTATATGTAATTTTTATTAAGATAATTAAAATTTTTATTTATTCGATCAGAATTTGTTTATTTTTAACTAGAAATTTTTTTCACTTTTCCTCTTAGTGTACTTTTTATAAAACTCACCCTTGGAAACAGTACGCAGTTGTAAGCAACCAATTGTCCGCTACAAGAGTAGCATCACAAACATGAACTCCCTCCTTGAAGAGTGCAACATGCCAAGGCCAATCGCCAGGTTCTGCCATCTTATTGAGACCATTAATACCGCCGCTAGTACGTAGAGATTGTATTCCGCATTCTGATTTTCAAAAATCAAAATCACAACGTAAGTATAAATGAGCAAGATTAAAATATAAACAAATGTGATAATCAATATATAAAAACGCATATAAAAATGATAATAATTTTTATTTTTAAAATAAATAACAAATTAGGAAAAGAGTTTTATAATTGCGCCACGGTGCTCATCTAAAAAGTTTGGGGGGGGGGATACAGTTGCTTTCCATTTATATCAAAACTCAGATAATTTTTATTTGTAACGTCATAACTCAATTTAAATACACGTATATCTTTTCATTCTGATGAGTGATATACAACTGAATTTTTATTTATAATTTACAAAAGCTTTATTTACAATCTACACAAGTTTGAACCGATCCGGTCAATTGATCGAAAATAATTGATTGAAAACGATTCGTCGAAAACTAATTGATCAAACGGACAATTCATCGAAAAAAAATTGATCGAAAAAATATAACTAGTCGAAAGTGTAATTCATCGAAAGGATAATTAATCGAAAGGACAATTCTTGGAAAGTAATAATTGATCAAAAGGATGACTAATCGAAAAGACAATTGGTCGAAAGAACAATTGATCAAAACTACGGAGTAAAAAGAAGGAGACCAAACTTGAGGATGAAACATATGAGCTCAAAACATGGTTTCGGAAAACCTCATGGAAAATCGAAAAAATTATAGAGACTCTCTAACAGAGTCTAGCCATAAGACGAGTAGGCAAAATCCTACGAGAAAGAAGATATATCCATCCTTTTTTTTCTTTAAACTTAATCTAATTTCTCTGGACGTGCTCACGCACGATTGTCACTCATGATAGCCGTTCACTAGTTTAAGAACGTTATCACGAGAGAAAATTGGAAAACTTCAAATTTAAATCTAGAATATCAAATGAAATATTTAATTTTTTAAAGTATAAAAAATCCTCTTTTAATAATGAAACAGATTTCAAATGTAGATTAATATTCGACAAAATATTTATGTTATACAATACAAAAATGTATTTTTAATTAATTTATGAAATATAACGTTATATAATATAAACAGTTTTTATCTATTATATAATACAAAAATTTATTTTTAATTAATTTATAACGTTATATAATATAAAAAGCTTTGTGTTATACAATGCAAAAATTTATGTAATTAATGTTATATGAATAGAAAATATTTAAATTTATGTTTTATATATTTATTTTCCTCCCCATTAATTTTATTTTATTAATTATTATAATTAAACATTAAATGTAAGAAATTTGTTATCATATTATTATTTTAATGTTTTGTGTGTGTGTGTGCATATAAAGATCATAATATTTATTTATTCTAAAACAATTTTTATTTATATTGCTAAAATATAACACTATAATATTAATGATAACGTTAGAGTGATTCAAATGAGCGAGAATTGCCCACTTTTAGAGGACCAATCAAAACTGGATATCTTATCCAGGCTAGACTCTATATTAAGCCTTGTGTCCACGATACTAGAAATCGGTCCGAGATCTCGGATGAAGGAAAAATTGACCAATTACATGGTCATGTGACCAAATTGTTCAAATGTGATTTATTAATTCTTTCTTCATCCGAGATTTCGGACCGATTTCTAGCATCGTGGACACAAGGCTTTAGAAGGTCTCTACTGCATCCACGCTGACGCTTTACAACGCGAAGCGAGGACTATCTCATTAATTTTTCATGCGAAATGAATTCCCTCTCCCGGTTTTCTATTAAGGGGCGTACGATTTTTATAATCATACCGCTGTACATGAATTTCGACAGTTGTCATTTCGATCAATTGTCAATTCGACCAGTGGTTCTTTCGATCAATTGTTGTTTCGATCAGTTATCATTTCGACTAGTGGTTCTTTCGATCAATTGTATTTTCAATTGATTGTTCGTTCGTCGATTAATTGTCTTTCGATGAATTGTCTGTTCGATAAATTGCCCTTTTTCGATAAATTGATTTTTGATCAATTGCTTTTATTGATTGTTTTTCGATCAGTTGTCATCAAACCAAATCTGAGACCGTGTGCTTCACTATTAAATATTGTTAGCTCATATTAAAAATAAAATTATAAATCTGTGTTGTCATGCGATAACTTTATCTTCGAAGTAACCAAGTTGATATCATTATCTAAGAATAAAATACTCACATAATTTTAGACTCAGTATTATTTTATATGAAAATAGAAAGCAACTGATGTAACAAATAATTAAATAGATAGAATTCTACTTCGTACCGAGATCGGAACAGCGGACGTATAGAACTTCTTTGCTTGGGCAAGGAGCTCGGACAAAAGTAATTTCCGGTGCTGAGGGATCTTCCATGTATACATACGGGACATCCTCTTCGTCATCAGTTCTTACTTCAACGGAAGTTACGCCACTATGTTGAAGAAATAAAAAAAACAATTCTTAAATTATAAAATTCTCTTTTAATC